GGGACATTGGGACATTGAGGGACATTGGGGACATCAGGGGACATTGGGGACATCAGGGGACATCGGGGGACATTGGGGACATCAGGGGACATCAGGGGACATTGGGGGACATGGGGACATTGGGGACATGGGGACATTGGGGACATTGAGGGACATCAGGGGACATCAGGGACACCCCGGGGACCCCCCCGCCGGCCCCGGGGACAGCGGTGTCACCTCCGAGGGACAGCCGGAGGGCGCCGGGAGCCGCCGGTTGTCCTTGAGGAGCTCCAGCAGGTGACAAACGATCTGCGCGGGCCGGCCCGAGCCCAGCATGCGCAGGAATTCCTGCGGGAACACCGGGAACGGGCTGGGAAACACCGGGAATGGGCTGGGAAACACCGGGAATGGGCTGGGAAACACCGGGAATGTCCCGGGAAACACCGGGAATGGGCTGGGAAACACCGGGAATGGGCTGAGAAACACCGGGAATGGGCTGGGAAACACCGGGAACGGGCTGGGAAACACCGGGAACGGGCTGGGAAACACCGGGAACGGGCTGGGAAACACCGGGAACGGGCTGGGAAACACCGGGAATGGGCTGAGAAACACCGGGAATGTCCTGGGAAACACCGGGAATGTCCCGGGAAACACCGGGAATGGGCTGGGAAACACTGGGAATGGGCTGGGAAACACCGGGAATGGGCTGGGAAACACCGGGAATGGGCTGGGAAACACCAGGAATGGGCTGGGAAACACCGGGAATGGGCTGGGAAACACTGGGAATGGGCTGAGAAATGGGAACGAGCTGAGAAATGGGATATCCCTGAGCACCGGGAATGTCCTGAGCACCGGGAATATCCCAGGGAAACGGGAATGTCCTGAGCACCGGGAATGTGCTGGGAAACGGGAATGTGCTGGGAAATGGGATATCCCTGAGCACCGGGAATATCCCAGGGAAATGGGAATGTCCTGAGCACCGGGAATGTGCTGGGGACCGGGAATATCCCAGGGAAACGAGACATCCCAGGGAAATGGGATATCCCTGAGCACCGGGAATGTGCTGAGCACCGGGAATGT